CTCTTTGTAGAGTTTTAACAAGTGTGTCCATATCCGAGTTTTGATAAAATATACATAATTCCTTGTGTATTGCAAATAATTGTTAAAGTCATTTTCTTTCAACAGCTGCTTCAGAACAAATAATTGGAAAAAGCTCCGGGTGCTGTATTCAGCAGACTGTTCACTGCTGAGAACGTTATCCACTATTTCTGTACCGAGTCTCTTGTTCATATAGTCTACCAAGGCAGGTCTGAGACACTGATCACAGAAATTCCAGGCCCTGTCTTGACACTCATCCTTCTCTAAGAACAGAGCTTTGAACGTGGAGAGATACTGAGGTTCCAGTTTCCCCAGACATTGCAGAGGATCATTTTCTGTAATGAATTCTTCATGCATCTTCTGAAATGCACAAGCTGCATCACCCAAAATGTGAAGCTTCAGGTCAACTTCAAAGCAAGTGCTGATGTGAAGGTTTTGAACAGTAGCCTGCTGAAGCTGCTCGTTAATCATCCGCAACAACTCTCTGCAATAAGTTTCATCGTAATCTGCTTTACAATGTGCCTTTTTTTCAGTGTAACTATTGCACTCATCTATTAAGGATGTAGCAAGAGCCTCTGTTTTATGCCAGCATTCCTGTGTAAAGTATTCTTTCACAGCGGACACTGATATTTTGAACTTTAAGTATTCATTTTTCATTTTGAAATTTTGTGTTTTATAAGTAGGCAAGCTTCTCGCACCCTCTAACATCCGCCATGCTGCACTCCCCTTATTCTCTAGGTCTCTTCTCAAATGTAACTCCATTTCTTTATATATGATGCGTTTCTGTAAAGGAATGAGTGATAATTCTGACAATGTTTCTCTCCACATGGTTTCAAATTCTTTCTCCTGTTCATCATTATTTAGCTTGCATTTGCTTTTCCTGCAATGGTTCAGAAGCCTGTCAACTTTCTCTTCAATTTTTCTCTTGTACTGTGACAGGACAGCATCTGTTTTATGTCGGCCTTTTCTAATTTCAATCGCTTCTTTCAACTTGCTGAATGAATAACTCTCCAGTTCATTCCTCAGACCATTTGCACTTCTCCTAAAATCCTCTTTGTACTTTTCTATCAGGTGCAGATTTGTTGCTCCACTTTCAAAATATTGTTTTAAATGATCCAAAATCTTCTTTGCTTCTTGTCTCAGTTTCTCCTGTGCCTCGTTCTTTAGTTTGGTTAAAACACTTGTGTCTAGCTTATCTGGTGGCTGATTTTGGATGAACGTTTCCTTTTCAGATACCCAGAGGTGCATCATCTTGCGGAAACCCCATTCCCACTCTGCATACTTCACAGACAGCTGGTTATAGGCTTCAGCGACGAGACTGTTTCTAAAGCTGAAGATGAAGTTCTCATGTTTTACAGCATTCCACAGGCTCTTCACCCATTCAAGAAATTGGGGGATGTCCTTGGGAGATCTGTTTTGTGAACAGCCTTTCAGAAATTCAAACAAATATTTCTTTAATTCATAAACCTTTTCACTGTATCCCATATTCACTGGAGCCATAGGCGGGACTCCATGCCACAGAGCAGGAATGTACCAATTGTGTTTTTCCAGATCATAATCCATAATATCAGAAAATGTCATCTCCCGGCCTTTCTTTTCCATCTTTGCTGCAGCTTTGGTCATTTCATCCATCTGCTCCAGGAGGTGTTTCCTGTCCCTCATGTTTTGTTCATGCGCAGACACATCACTGACGTTCTGATGCACAAACTGGCAGTTGGCTTTTTGCCCTATTTCCTCCATTCTGAGGAATGCATGGACCACAATTTGCAGAATATCCTTCATTTCGGTGGCGTTCTCCATGGCCATGTTAACGATGGTTATGTCACTCAGTCCAACAACCAGTGTGGCTAGCTCATTGTCATGTTCATAACTGTCCTCCAGCTTGGCCAGTTCAGGGGCTTTCAGGCCTTCTGTGTCTATCACCAGGATGAAATCACAGCCCAGGTCCTGTTGAAAGTTCTCTGCCACTTTAATGAGTGACATGAAGGCTCCTCGCGTACATCGGCCACTGCTCACTGCAAACTGCAGGCCGAACATGGTGTTGAGGAGGGTGGATTTCCCAGTGCTCTGCACTCCCAGCACTGTTAGAACCAGCATTCTGGACCTTCCCCCCAGCTTGGCATGGAGCTGGGTCAGAACATCTGTCACCCACTGCAGTGGGATGTTGGACACATCTCCATCGATCAGCTCCAAGGGAAACCCTTCCAGCATCAGGTCAGCTGCTATGCCTGAGAGATGGACGAATTGTCTTTGGCTTTCTGCTATTTTACCTTCTTGAACTATGGAGCATTCAGCCTCATAGAACTGCCCCAACTCACGCATGAAATGCTCCACCCCTAAGGAACTGGCAGAGATTAGTTTATCGTGTTCTGGAAACATTTTGGGGTCGTCTTTTGAGTTTTTGCATTTCTCTTTATATTGATCCCGTAGTTTAGAAATATTCTCCCGAGCAATGTGATCCAGGTCAAACTTCATCCATTTCAGGAAGTAATGTTTCTCCTTGGGAGGCAGTCGGCCTAGTCCAGTAATAAATTTACTCAAACTATCAGTCAGGTCATGTTTATTCTGCTGGACACGTAACTCTAATAATTTCTTTTTCAGTTGAGACTTGTATTTCTCCAGAGGGATGTCCCCTTGATTTCTCATTCTGCACAGCTCCTTTTCCACTTCAGCCAAGTTTTTCCATGGCTCCCCTTGGAGTCTCAGCTTTTCCCTCTTGTACTTTGCCACATCTTTTATGTGTACAGTGATTTCCTTGGCATATTCACCGGCATGCTGACATTTCTTATTATCCTCATCTACCTGGATGCCTAACTGACGTGCAGTCTCAGCCATGGCTTCTATACTCACTCTCTTGGGAGAAGACTTCATTACAGCTGCTATTGCAGACTGCAGAACTTTTACATAAGCCGCCTCATTTGTGGCACTTCCTTTCTGCAGCACACATGAGTTGTTCAGTTTCAGGACTGGGGCCAACTTTTTCAGGAATGCCAGTGTTTCCTTGGATGTCACAGCCTGATTATTAACCATGAAGTAGTATTTAGTAGCTGATCCCTGCAGAGATGATAACAGCGCGTATTCTCTCTCACTGATGCTCTCAGTAACTATGAACACTGCTGAGGAGATCTCTGTTAAAAAGCTGAACTGCAGCCAGTGGGACTCAATGTCTCCATGCAGGTTTGCAACCGCAACTGGCTTTGGGAAAAGGTCTGAATTCTCCGTCCCACTAGGGAAATACCAGGAAATCTCGACCAGCCCATCTGCGATTTCCCGAGGGACATTCCCAGACTCCATGTCCCGATGGATGAAGAAATCGTGGTGCTGCTGGGAGGGGCTGAGAATCTCATTGAGAAGTTTGGACTTGGAGAAGTTGCAGCTCCCCATCCGCACAAAGGAAATGGTTGGCATTTTGGTGAGCACCAGGCTCTCCTCCCTGAATCCCCTGCTCTCTGCCAGGGAGTGGGGCCTCCACTTCCTCACAATGTCCCTCATGGCCCACAGCATTAGGGTGCACTTGGGGGTGTCGAGGGCGGGTAGCAGCAGAGGGAGCGC